AACCCACTCCCGCAGCTGCATTGATGGAATACATGAAGGGTGTGAACAATGTGTCTTGTGGGCTGCATGTGGCCCCTAAGCCCAATGTTATGGCAACTGAAGCCCTCTGCCTTTTCCCAGAGCCTTCCACATCTCCCCCTTAAAATATTTTTCTGTGCTTTGGGGCAACCTCCATTGCAGAAATACAGACCTTAAGCACCTTGTTAAGGTTTCAAGAATGAAAACTGGAGAGGGTCCATGTCCCTTTACTGGTTGTGTAGAAGAGGGAATGTCACCCGGTGTTGCTTGTTACCCAGGTGCATGACAAGCAACACCTGCTGAAAGTCTCTCTTCTACACAACCATTAAAGGGACAGGTGCTCTCTCGCTCCAATTTTCACTCTGGCAACATTACCAGAGAAATGCCCATCCAACCTCTGTTTAAAAACCTCCAAAGGGAATCCTCCGCTTTCCGCTGTCAAACAACTCTCAGTAGCAAGACGTTCTTCTTAATCTTTAGTTGGAATCTCTTTTCCTACACTATCAGGATGTCCTTCAAGTCGTTTCTGACTTAAGGTAAACCTATCATGGGGTTTTCTGCGGCTGAGAGTGTGTGACTTGCCCAAGGTCACCCAGTGGGCCTCCTTGGCCAAGCGGGGAATTGAACCCTGGTCTCCAGAGTCATAGTCCAATGTTCAAACCAGGACACAATGCTGGCTCTACACCGTGATCGAATCATAGACTTTGAAAGAACCACAACAGTTGTATAGTCCAACTCCCTGCCATGCAAGAATGAATCCACAGCTAAATGATCATCCCTATGTCTGTTTAAAAACCTCCAATGAAGGAGAATCCGCCACCTTCCAAGTGAGTCCATTGCACTATTGAACGGCTCTTATCTCCTGGAAGTTCTTCCTAATGTTTAAGTGGAATCTCTCTCCTTGTAATTTGAATCCTTTGGTTCAGGTCCTTCCCTGCAAAGCAGCAGAAAACAGGCTTCCTCCATCTTCTACATGAAATCCCTTCAGATATTTCAAGATAGCTGTCATGTACAGCTTAGTAAATACTTGGTGACTTTATGAATTCTTTTCCTTCTTTGCTTTGAATTAACGTTTCAAACGGTTTTAATTTTGTTGTGAGTTTAATACTGTTTTATAGTTGTTGTTTTTTGTGGGTTTTTTGGGCTGTGTGGCCATGTTCTAGAAGAGTCTCTTTCTGACGTTTTGCCAGCATCTCTAGCTGGCATCTTCAGAGAAATACTGTTTTAATCACAACTTTTTGGATGCTTTCGACCCGAGGTGTTTTTATTAGTACTGTATATGGTCATGTATAAGTTGACCTCATCTATAAGTTGAGGAGAGGTTTTGGATTTTGATATGACCTGTGGATAAGCAAGGGGCCATTTCTCTGGACGTTATCACACGGGGCTCAATCCAAACAGAATCCAAACGAA